ACATGAAAAATATCATAAAATTTAATGGTTCAAATTTCCAGCTTTGGAAACATCAGCTTCAAGTCATTTTTGAAATAAATAACTTTTTCGAAATCATAACAGGAGCAACAACAAAACCTGAATTGACAGATAATGCATACACATAATGGATAAAAAATGAAAATGCAATATGTATTCTGTCGATCTATAGAGTATACACTATTTGAATACTAGTATGTATAAAACTGCTGCTAAAATATAGTTGATGTTAAGCATGATATATGAACAAGAAAATATTTCAACTAAGTTTGTACTTATGACAAAATTAAATATAAAAATGTTATTAACTTAAATATAAAATGTTATCCACCGATTCCATTATTACTAAAATCAAAAATACGTGACAACTAAGTGATATCAAAAAAGAATTATCCGATGTCAAGATTTTGTCGACTCTTCCATTTAAGTTCACACATTTATGATTATCTGAAATAATATTAGAGAAACAGATCAAAAGAAAGAAATTTTTATTGAAGAACTAATAAAAGAAAAAATTCAACTCTCAGTTGATGAACTGATCAATGTTACAATGGAATAAAATAAATATGGAAAGATGGATTGTGTCAATTGTTGGAACGTGAAAGCATTCAAATTATCGGATAAAAGTGAAATTATCGGATAAAAATGAAAAGTAGGACTTTAAATGTTATTATTGCGATAGCAAGAGATCTTTCGTTGATGAAGAAGACACTAGTGATGATGACGTAGAATACTGTCTAAAAACCAAATTACATCTAAAAGAATCTTAAACTCGAAAAGAAAAGAAGTGATAGAGACAAATATTAAGGTAAATATAAGAAAGCTCTGAGAAGCATAGTGATCAAAGATAACGGCACAAACAAGATAGTTATTGAAAATAGTTTCTAGAATTCGCCATAATTTTTTATGCAAAATGAATGATTTGATTCGCAATCATATATAAAATATGGAGTATTATTAAAAGAAAGAATCTTTATGATTCTAAAAATAAACAACTTACGATTTGTGATGAAGAATTATAAAAGATAATAGGCATACAGCATTTCAAAACATTTACTATAATGAAATACCTTAAATATCATTTTATCAATTAAATTATTTTTTAATTTTTGATCTCTAACAAATTATATACATTTATATGTAACATATATTCTAGGATGTATTGTACATCTTTTCATTTTTTCACACATATATATATTTCTTGAGACTCGAGAATTTAGATCATGTCCTATCTAAAATATAAAATATTTAAAAGATAAGAAGATTTAGATAAGATATAATATATTTTGTTAAAGTTTATTCTTAATTACATTTTTATCTTTTTATTACAATGTTATTATTCTTTTAATTATGCAGGTTATTTATAGAGCCAACACAAGTCTATATATCGTATTTGTATATCTAGTTCGATGTTCTACATAGTTATAAAGATATTTCTAGCAAATATTAAAGTCTTGAAGATGATATTATGACCGAGCGGAAATGCTAAACTGTCCGCTTATCATCATCCTCCATGTATAAAGAAGTGAAGATTCCTCTCTGCCAACACGTCGATTTAATGAACAATTATGGGTTGCGCAAGCCGTTGACGGGCGTGAGAAATTTCTGTATTATTCTATTAATTAAAGAAATTAAAAAATTTGTTTCTTAACAGAGTCTTATTTTGCGAGTGAGCACAAGTGATTATGACATGTGAGTATCTGTAAATGCAACAATATGAAAAAATATCTAAAAGATATCTTTTTAAAGACATCTTCAAGATATTTCGAAAAAATATCTAAAAGTCATAAAAGATAGCTAAAAAGATTTCGTTGAAATTATCTTCGTTGTACTTTTAAAAGATATTTAAATACAGTATCAGACTCCTCGTCCTAATAAAATAAATTGCAATGTTCACGAAACGTTGATATTCAACAATGCATAATGATACGGATAATACTCATAAAAATATTAACTTTTGAAAAATATTAACTTTTTTAGAAAGATATCATAAAAATTTAAAAGGTATCATAAAGAATATTTTAAAAAAGTTTGTAATAGATGTATTAAAGATATTTAAATTATTTCTTTTAAAGGTTGTTTTCGAGATATTTTTGAAAGATGTTTATTAGACCTGTATGTTAATATTATTTATATTAATATTATTACTGATTATTTAATTTGTAATACTATTAAGCTTGAAGAAATCTATGATATACAATAAATTGTTCGAAAAATATATATATAGCTATTATTACACATATAAAATTTGAAATATTTGTTGTTAAATTTATCATTTGTCTACGAGTTAAATAATGATAATTATCATGATCTCTTGTTATTTCTTGATCAAAAAATCTTGATAAAAAAAAATTTGAACTTGAACTTGAACTTGAATTATATTTAATCAACATCTTTAATTACTGCTTAAATGTAGTTTAAATTTCTTTTTTTATCAAGATATTCTGATAAAGAAGAGATATTCTGATAATAAGAGATCATGATGAGATCAAAATATTACGTGTATACATGAAATAATAATATACATGCACGTATGTTCTACAAAATTTCATAATTAATGTTTGATATTTACAAGATATATTTTTCTCAATTCTCATATTTTTAAAATTTCTACAAAATCTGTAGATATGAGTATTATAAAATAATATTCAATAATACAAGTAATATCAATGTAGAATAATATATTTATTAATATATTTATTAATATATTTATTAATTTATTACCAGTTTTACTTGTTACATACATATTACATACTAAATAAATAATTATTCAACCCTATTATCATTATATTAATCAAGTATTTGCAAACATTTCACTTAAATTATATCTGTAACAATTTCTACAACATTAATATATGATCGTTCTGCTCATATGGACTTATAGTTTTATTTTGAAGACTTATTTGAAGATTCATTTCTATATTGTTTATTTTTATCAATTAGATTCCTTTTTTATAAAAGCACAACAAAACGTTAATCTGCTCTAATATAATATCTATTAAAAAAAAAAATGTATAATTATGTATACATTTTTAATTTTATATTGCAAAAAGGTATTAATATTAAAAAATATAATCAATCTGTGTGTTTTATTAATTTCCTAGCCATTGCTTTCAAGTCTTTCCTCGCAATTTTTCCTGAACCTGTATATGGAAACTTTTCCAGAAATATTACTCCACCACGAAGTTTGTAGTGATCCATCATATTCTTCGCTATAAAATTTATGAATTCTTCCTCAGTCTCCTGAAGAAAAAAATAAAATTTAATTATTAAGACAAAGGACATTTTAAAGCACAAAATAAATAATTTTTACTTTACAAATATTTATAAAAATAATGCTTTAAATAATATAAAATTTAATTTTACTTAATATAAAAATGAAAATAAAAATTTACATATTAGTATATTAAGAAATTTCCACAACACAATTATTAAGAATTTATAATAAAATT